CTTCAGTTGGCTCCCAGCACCAACAAACACCTGTCAAACTAGCATCAGGAGTAGCTTGTGGGACCGGGGTGGGGGTGGCTTGGGAGGGGTTGTCTGTCTGCAGGTGGCAGGATGAGTTGGGAGGCTAAAAATAGCCAGGGGGGTGGCGGGGGAAGGAGGTGTAGGAAAAGTACAGCTCCAGGGCTGGGCTCAGCAGTTGGGCCTTCCCAGCCCCAGGGCTGTGCTCAGAAAATGTACAGAAGTTCAGTTAGATCAGTGTTTGCTGTACCCAGTCTAACTTTGTGCATATCCAAGGTATAGTTAACTTAGATCAGGTTAGCCATTTTAGACTGATCTAACTTTCTTGGCACTTCTGTACAGTTTGTACTTAAATCAATATAACTAGGGATCCAAGTGTAAAGTCCACATTTGGATGAGCTAAGTTAGATTGGATGGTCATTCTTAACTTGATCTAACCTCCCCGAATGTCAGTAATACCCTTAGTGACCTTGCTCCTCTCAGATTCAGTGAGGGAAGTTAGTCCTTAGCCTCTGACAAATGCTCTAATAACATCCTTTGGGAGCCTCTCATGCTGTAGAACTGCAGCAGCAACTCAAGGGGGAGTGCTCACTCTGACCAGGTGATAGTCATTGGAGGGCTTTTCCAACAAGGGAGGATCTTTTCATCCCCTCAGTAACCATTGAAGTGGGGTGTATTTTCAACCTGATGGAACCTTGTCTCCTTTGGAAGCTTTTTCTGTGAGGCAGCTTCTCTAGATGGTTCACAACACCTCTTCCTTGATTGAACCTATTCTCAGTAAGCACACTTAGGAGGACCCCAGCCAGCCTTCTTAAGGAGCTTCTCAGTAATTCTTCCATCAACCCCGCATGGCTTCAATTGCCACAAACTTGTGAAGGGAACGGGTATGCAGAAGGGGCAGCTGGGAACATAGAACAGCCACAAGTTCAGTGACTCCTCTCAAAGCCTTAAATGTTCAGAGCATAAAGAAAGATTAGTGAGCAAATAGGATCCAGCTGTATGTTCAATGTCTTAGAAAGAGGCAAGGCCCTTGCTGCATTCAAAGTGATCTGTGCTACATGGTTTCCTTCAAGAGTACCATAACCCTTTTGTGGGGCATAAGATGTTAGTTTGCATTAAGCTAATAAAAGAGGAATAGAGAGGCAGCTAGCTGTGTTGGTCTGAAGCTTGGCAGAAGGCAGGGCAGGGAGATACTTTACAGAATAACTCATGTGTCAGCAGCATATGGCCTGTAGGACCATTGGATCCAGCACACGCAGTCCAAGGGTTTTGCCTGTGCCCGTACCAGACTAAGAAGCAATGAGTTGCAATGGCTGGGCAACTTCCATTTGCACCCTTTTCACTGCTGCTTTTTTCCCCTGCTCTCTAGCCATTCCCTGGCTGTGATGGGGTATCTTTCTGCTAGTGGGGAGCTGCACCAGGGCTTGGCGGCTGGAAGCTGGGTCCATGCCACTGCCACTTTTCCCTCCCTTTCTCCCTACATCTCGCAGCTGCAGTGCAGAAGCTGGCCGCCCCACCCTGCCACTGTCCCCCACCAACTGGAAGTTGCACCCCTTTTTAAATACATCCTGAAGCTAAGGAGCAGGGCACTGGGAGAAGCAACAGTAGTATGGGTGCAGCTCTCAGCTGACTGGCTCTAGTGTGGGCCACTGAAACACCATGGAAGCCACCCAGCCTGTGTCAGGCTGGAGCCAGGTTTTTCTTGCTCAAAGCATGAAAAGGTTGCTAGATGCTGGGCTAACTCATTCAGAGAGGCATTAGCTTTCATAGGCCAGAGGCTACTTCATCAGATGCTAAAAGCAGAATAGTTAACAGAATGATCCCTTTGGAAAGGGCAGCTGCACTTTTACCTGTAAGGCAAGCAACTGTAATTTGACTTCCCTTTCCTGACCCAGATAGTCCTCTCTAGGGATAAGCTGTGCAAACTTGGGGTTTTGAGGTACTTAGAAGCAAGGTGCTAATTGCTCCTGGTGCCAGCATGCTGAATGAGGGGATGGGTACAGTAAGGGGTTTGTTTTCATGAGTTCAATGCACTAAGGATTTACAAGATCACAATATTTAAAGCAACACATTCAGGCAAAACCTAAAAAGTGATAGAAAACTGCTCCTGAACATATTCTTCAGTTTATGAGCATGTGCAGTGTGCGACCTTTAGAGATGTGCAGCTGGACCAAGAAACTGAGAATACCACAGTTCATATCCAACACAGCCTTTTATCTAGATGGTGAATCCAAATACGATTTTTTTTACTTTTGAATTTGTTAAATTAATATAAAAACTACTTTACAGCATGTAAACTTAGGTTGACTTTCAAACTCCAGAGGGAACTTGCAGGACTGGCATTTGATGAAGTGATCTTTACCCTTGTAAAAACAACAAATTTGATGCAGCAATCATTAGGAGCAGCATAATACCATTTTAGAAGTGGCCATTTTCAGAGTAGGCCGTCTCTGTAATATTTATACTTAACACAGCTTGGAGCTCTTTCCAAAACCTCAGTTTTCAACCTTTTTCACTAACAGGACTAACTTACATACTTAAAATATAGAAGCAAGGATGGAAAACAGGTGGTTTCCCCTTCAAGATTAGCTGGTTTGCGCGCGTGTGTGTGTGTATGTTTTCTCAAAGTAATTAACTGTCGAGTACCGGAGAAAACCTTGTGCTAGCTTTTTTTCTCTGCCTGTGGAATTTTGACTACTGTAAATACTGTATATAATTAAACAAAATGAGATTTTTGCACTGTATGCTCGTACATATGTATAATGAAAATGGAACAAAGTTCCAGAAAAAGTGTGTGTGAATGTGTTCATTTATTCTGACAAATATAAACCCACATATATATTAACCGACAAAATATTTAAATTTTAACTTTTTTTTATAGACCATTTGAAAAATCAACAAAATCCACCATGCAAGTAGAATGCCTTAGAGACCATTCGCATGGGAATTTGGTCATTCCCTTTTTGTTGTTTTTTATAAACACCCCAAGGCTTCTTTTTCTAGTAGCACTTCATTAACCTCAAATGTCTTCAGAATCACACAGTATTTGCTTTGATGTAGTTGTCATATGTTAGATCACTGATGAAAGTCAGCATCATGAAACCGCAGCAAGCAAATGATGGGAATCCAGGGTGGTTGCCACAGAGAATTTATTTCAGTACAATTTCTTTAATCCCCAGCTCCCTAGCAGAGGCAGCGGAATCAAAGGCATGCTGCACAAAAGGAGCTCAGCAATATCTCTGAAGGCCATGGTGCTGCAGTCATCAATTGTGTACCAGAAATAATTTTTTTGGCCTGGGGTGAAGACCTTTGGACTTCCCATTTAATTCTTTCTACTCCCTGTTTCTAATGACCTGACACATGCAGTACCCTGTGAAGCTTGTAAGTACTCTTATGTGCACATAAGGATAAGGATGAAAGGAAAATTCTCCCGTGGTCACTGTTTCGGCTCTTGGACTGTTATTCGGTTTCAAGCATAAGTATGACACAGGTCTGGCATGAAAAGAGGGTTCTGCTGTTCAAGGGATGGGATAAATCTGGAAAAGTCTTCTACAGTTGGATAGAATGGGCTGCTCAAAGGCCTGAGCTTGGATATGTCCTATTTGAGAAGTGAGCTAGCAGAAAAAAAATGACTGGCAATAAAGCAAGGGCCAACCCTGAGATGCTCTCACTTTGCGACCCTGGAACCCGAGACCCACTCATCATACTTCAATGCTTCTCCATAATCAACTAATCTATAACCAAATGGCTTCTATGGATTTCATGATTTCATTTTGCTAATTGCACATTTGCTGCAATAGAACAACTGGAAAGAATACTTCAATATGGGAATTGCACTGTTCAGCAAAAAATAATCAGAAATGTGAAAACACAGCTACCAATATAATTCCAATGTTGGCTTCTACTGTAAGGCCTTTGACTTCATGGAACTTTTACACCTTAGCTGAAGCATATACACTTCAACAGCTGCAAAAGTAACATGGGGGAAAAATTCAAACCCTTGCACTTTAGTATTGTAATCATAATTCTTTTAAAATCAGTTGTGACTTGTCACTTTTATATTAGACAAAATATGAATACCCTTGACACAGATATATGTCCAGAGTAAGTACGTTTTGCTTAGTATTATTGTTTATTAGCTCAACTGTGTAGCTAGAAGAGACATTAGGTGAGCTTTGGAACACAAAATGCCCTTTCTCAGGTATGGGAAAGAATCAGATACAGGCTGAACTAAACACCAGTTATCTGCCTTTTTCCCAGATCTGAGGAAGGGAATTTTGGCTAGGGACAGACATTCAAAAAGCCTGAGCCTGAATTGATTCAATTTTCACAGGTTAATCTAATCTCCAGAGATTGAACCGATTTGCAAGTGGATAGACATTCACTTTTGAATCAGGAAATGCAGGCACATTCCTGCAGTGGTTCAGGCTA